TTAATTATTTTTTGAAATAAAAATAAAAGCAACATTCCATCAACAGGTATCATGTTGAGTGGCAATGAGGTGAGCCAGATCTTGCTGTCGCTCTCGCTGACGTACTACGGCGGCCAGGGCAAGCGGCCGCTGTGGATCGCGTGGGGCGTGGCGCTGTCGGCCGCCTCCTGCTTCATCCTTACGCTGCCGCACTTCGTGTTCGGCGCGGGCAACGACGCGCTCGCCCTCACCGAGGAGTACCTGCAGCACCGCCACTTCAACTACACCGTGTCGCAGAGCGGTGAGTATCGTGCGCGCGAACTGCTGCAACTCGTCGTCGAGCGATCTATGGAACAAAAGTGACCAGTTTTTTTTTGCGCGCGTTTACGGCTGCAGAGCAGGCCAAGCTGTGCTCGTGGAGCCACCCGCCTGACCCGGACTGCCCCCTGGAGACGGACACGGACCTCTCCTGGCTGCCCGCCGGCCTCATCTTCCTCTCGCAGTTCGTGCTTGGCGTGGGCACCACGCTGTACTTCTCGCTCGGCCAGACCTACCTGGACGACAACACCAAGAAGACCAACACGCCCATGCTGCTGGGTGAGTTGGGTCCGGGTCGGATGGGTTGCCTATCCCCCGGGCACCGTCGCTGACGCTCGACTCGTTCCAGGTCTGACCATGGCGCTGCGAACGGTGGGCCCCGCCGTGGGCTTCGTGCTGGGCTTCGCGTGCCTCAGCCTCTACATCGACCCCTCGCTCACGCCAGTCATCACGAAGAAGGACCCCCGGTGGCTGGGCGCCTGGTGGCTCGGTGAGTGGATCTCAGCGGAGGGGATTAAGTCCACGGCAAGAGGAAGGCGGGAAGGCGGCCTCCAGGGACTTGAACCGAACCGTTATTGTTGTCTGCAGGTTGGATCCTGCTCGGCACCACCATGTTTATGTTCGCCGGGCTGATGGCGCTGTTCCCCAAGGACCTCCCGAAGAAGAACCTCAACCGCAACATCGCGCTGGCCGCGTTACAGGAGGCCAAGGACGCCAAGTCTAAGGACGAGCAGCCGCTCACCAAGGGCAAGACCTTCAACGTGGAGCCCGCCCCCAAGGCCCTGACGGCCTCCGCGGGAAGCCTCGACGAGCGGCCCACGATCAGCGGTAAGTCAAACGAGGGTCTCTCCGTTGTCCCGGCTTAGTGATCATCCAGAAAGTACGTCCGCCATTCCCCCTCTTGAACTTGTGAAGTTTAGCCAATGCAAGCTCTCATATAGCGCCTGGTACGTAGGCAACAACTTGCATGCAATGCGTGCGAGTACTGCGGGGTGGCCTACCTCGAGTCTCGGTCTCGCAGGCACCGAATGTATCTGGAAAAAGACGGACGTACTTTCTGGACGATCCCTCTCAACGCTCGCCTGCCCCGCACTCTGAAGGTCCCCGTGCTTGTTCTGCAGGCTTCTGGGCAGCACTCATGCGACTCATCAAGAACAAGCTGCTGATCTGCAACATCTGGTCCGGGATCTTTTACATCCTGGGCGGCTCGGCCTACATCACCTTCATCACCAAGTACCTCGAGGTACAGTTTGAGCAGTCGTCCGCGAAGGCGTCCGCGGTCACCGCGCCCATCTCCATCCTGGCCATGATGTCGGGCTTCCTGGTGTCCGGCTTCGTCATCTCCAAGTTCAAGCCGCGCCCGGTGTACCTGCTCAGCTGGAACGTCCTCGTGGGCTGCAGCTACGTCCTCGCCGAGCTCTCCTTCATCTTCCTGGGCTGCCCAGAGGTGGCCCTGCAGGGGTACAGGCAGGACTTCAACACCGGCAGGTAAGCGCGATGAGTTGCCTACCCATTCGGCGCGCCACCCGCCGCCGCTCGCCGCCCTCTTGCTGACGGAGCGTTGCGATTGTGCTTGCAGGGTGGACATGTCGATGCCGTGCAACAGTAACTGCGGCTGCCAGAACATCAAGTACGACCCGGTCTGCTACGAGCCGCTGGGCCTCACCTTCTACTCGGCCTGTCACGCAGGGTGCACGTCCTCGATCGTGCAGAACGACATCAAGGTGCTACCCCGGCCCCTCCACCTCTGTGCAATGCACATTATCTCTGTTAAAAAAATTATTTTTGAAACGACGATCTCTTTTTTTGTTTTTCCTCTAGATGTACGATAATTGTACGTGTGTGCCGAACGGGCCCGGGGGTGGTAGTCGGGAGCTCTGGAGGGGTCCTGGGCACGACTCTGGCGACCCGAGCCACCATCACCAGTACTACAGCGTGTCCGGGCAGAACGGGTACAATCGAAGGGATTACAACCAGCAGGGGGGCTTCAATCAAGGAGGTTACAATCAAGGAGGTTACAACCAAGGGGGGCAAAATCAAGGAGGTTACAACCAAGGGGGTTACAACCAAGGGGCGCAAAATCAAGGGGGTTACAACCAAGGAGGTTACAACCAGGGGGGTTACAGTGGCGGTTACAACCCAGGCGGTTACACCCCCAGCTACTCCGCGGGAGGTTACAACCAGGGTGGTTCCACGCCCGGCTGGACGCCCTGGCCCCAGCTGTCCACTCAGTCGGTGCGGGCGGGCACTTGTGACCTGGACTGCAAGAACACGTTCCTTATCTTCATCTGCATCACTACGGTCATGCACAGCCTTGGCTCCTCGGGGAAGGTCGGCAATCTGCTCGTGAACTACAGGTGATCTACTGAACTATTAAATCTTCCACGCATTGTCAGGCTTGAAAAGAGTTCCCACAAAATGTATGTTTTCTTTTCTCGAACAGGGCAGTAGATCCTAGAGACAAGTCTTTTGCCCAAGGGCTATCACTTTTCCTTATCAGCATATTTGCATTCATTCCTGGTCCAATATTGTTTGGAGCAATCATTGGTGCGTATTGAAATCCTACGCTTATCTCATACATGTAAATAAAATAATCTGTACTATCATAATTTTTCTTCTTTTGCATCAGATTCTACATGCTTAGTCTGGGATGAGTCTTGTGGTAGAAAAGGAAATTGTTGGCTTTACGACAAATCAAGTTTCCGTCTGTATCTGAATTCTACTGCAGCTGGTAAGTTAAGTCGTTAGCAGGTGGCAATAAATACCCCGTAATGAATGCATAGTTTTTAAGTTTTCAAACTATATATTTTTTCCAGCTATTACTACCATTGGAGTTATCCTGGATGCTTGGGTCTGCTATTTAGGAAGGGACCTTGAATTGTATGTTGAGGAGGACAAAACAAAGTCTCAAGAAATTACTCCTGCCCCAGAAGATCTCACACCACAGCAAAAATATACATCAATAGCTGTATAGGTAGAAAATGTGTAAGTGACAAATTATAACTGTACGATTAGTGTAAGTTCATATTTTTCTAGTGAATGAATGAAATAGATGATGCGCTGTTGAAGATGTTGGAGATGAATTGAAATTATGAAGACCTCAACTTTGTTCATAGTTAATTTAACAAATGCCAAATATTTCAAGAGTAATAATTTACTGTACATTCTGATTTTTATCAAACCATGGTTTTTTCATAGGGCATTCTAGAGTGAACTGTGATCAACAATAGTTTAAGTTCACCAGAATTCCATTCTCTCTTCTGGTTAAGCACTACTCTAGTCGAAATAGTAGCGGATTGTTTATACAAATAATCAAAATAATTTCTAATAATGATATACCATGAAGCACCTAAAGTGTGATATTTAGAAGAAATTACAAAACCGTCCACAACCATCAAGTCTTTGTCGCACTTGTGTATGCTCATATTCAAAACAAGAGACTATATGTACTGAGGTACTGTTTTACTTATTTATGCCATTATGATAACATGTGCACTTGCTGACTGTACTTCTCCACCCTTACACTCTATTTGAGATTGGTACTGTGAGACAAGAAAGACAACCACAAGTGATCTTTTTGTTCTAGGAATTTAGGTACCAGTATTTCTTTAAAATGAGCTCACTGATATTGATCAAGGTATGTCATCTAGTTTGTCAAGTCTTTCTCGGAGTTCAATGGTCTGATGCTTCAATCGGACTTAGAATTGTGATATATAATTATCTTATTTGTAAATAATTTGTAAAAAAGGAGGAACCGGAAGAAATATTTTATTTACCCCATGTCAAGTGTGTTGCTGTGTCAATATAATTTACGCATCATTGTTTTCAACCTGGTGACCTCTTGATTATTCACGCCGTTATACCTTTTTCCCTCACTCACTCGCTGGAGGGGCCATCCAAAAGGGACGCGTCACGCCATGCGGGCGTCAAGGCCCAAGGCCCAGCGCAAACACGCGTTGTGTAACCATAGTCGCACATGTGTGTCGATCGAACCCCATTACTCCACCAACTTGTATTAGTTAATCGGCTCAGCCCTGCCATGCCGCCGGCCCTGCCTGCCCCGCGGCCTTCCCTCTGACGGACGCGGAGCGGCTCGAGATACGACAGCCAGCCACCACACACCCCTCCCCTCCTGGAGCTGGACCTGCACGCGCGTCCAGCGCAGTCATGATAGCTTGTCTGTCACTGTTTGATTCCTCGGATTGATGATTCCCCCCGCCCCCACCCCCACGCCTCCGCGGGCGGCCCAAACCACCGAGGCCAAGACGGGCACCACCGTCGGGGCCGGGGGCATACCCGCTGGGCGCCGCCGCACAGTTGCGCCCCACCCCCATTCGGCCCGCCTCGCCAAGCCTCGCCACGCCACGTCCAGCCTCCCCGACGGGATTTCTCTTGACGAAGGGCTGGACTCCCCCGGCCACCCGTCCGCTCGTCCGTCTGTTCTGCCCGTCCGCCCCATCCCGTCCACTCCAGTGGGTCCGAAGAGCCAAGGAAACCGTATTGACTGGTATTGACCCTGCGTGGTTGTCGGAGCCCCGTTCACGCTCAGGCCACACCTGGCACCTGATCTTGTTAGGCGAGTAATGTCAAATAAGTGGTACATCAACACCACAATTTTTGTCTAAAATTGACAACCTAAGTAATCAAAATAATTGTGAGCTTAGGAAGTCAGAGTGGTGCCATTGCAACAACTCTAAAGAAGTCAATGACTTAGCTCGGACTGACCTGTTCCACCTGGGCGGGCAGGGGGCAGGGCGGCCCGCCACCTGCCGGTGCTGGGGTGATCTCCAGAGTGAAGGGCGCGGGGAAGGGTTAGGGAAGACCAGGCCAGGCGCGGTGGAGAACGTTCACCGTGCCGCGCATCGGCCGCCTTTTTGGTCAAAGCTGTCAAAGCATTGATCGCCTTTGATCGAAGCTTTGGCCGTCTCGAGGCTTAGGTATTGGCCGCCTTCGATCAAAGCTGTCAAAAGCGTTGACCGCCTCGAGACTTAGGCCAAAGTGTTGGCCACCATTGGTCAAAGCTGTCCAAGCATTTGCCGGCCGAGGTCAAAGCTGTCAAAGCATTGGCCGCCTTTTCGGGCGCGACGCGTCATGGGGCTCCCGCATACGGCCCTGGGTTACAATCAAGGAGGTTACAACCAAGGGGGGCAAAATCAAGGAGGTTACAACCAAGGGGGTTACAACCAAGGGGCGCAAAATCAAGGGGGTTACAACCAAGGAGGTTACAACCAGGGGGGTTACAGTGGCGGTTACAACCCAGGCGGTTACACCCCCAGCTACTCCGCGGGAGGTTACAACCAGGGTGGTTCCACGCCCGGCTGGACGCCCTGGCCCCAGCTGTCCACTCAGTCGGTGCGGGCGGGCACTTGTGACCTGGACTGCAAGAACACGTTCCTTATCTTCATCTGCATCACTACGGTCATGCACAGCCTTGGCTCCTCGGGGAAGGTCGGCAATCTGCTCGTGAACTACAGGTGATCTACTGAACTATTAAATCTTCCACGCATTGTCAGGCTTGAAAAGAGTTCCCACAAAATGTATGTTTTCTTTTCTCGAACAGGGCAGTAGATCCTAGAGACAAGTCTTTTGCCCAAGGGCTATCACTTTTCCTTATCAGCATATTTGCATTCATTCCTGGTCCAATATTGTTTGGAGCAATCATTGGTGCGTATTGAAATCCTACGCTTATCTCATACATGTAAATAAAATAATCTGTACTATCATAATTTTTCTTCTTTTGCATCAGATTCTACATGCTTAGTCTGGGATGAGTCTTGTGGTAGAAAAGGAAATTGTTGGCTTTACGACAAATCAAGTTTCCGTCTGTATCTGAATTCTACTGCAGCTGGTAAGTTAAGTCGTTAGCAGGTGGCAATAAATACCCCGTAATGAATGCATAGTTTTTAAGTTTTCAAACTATATATTTTTTCCAGCTATTACTACCATTGGAGTTATCCTGGATGCTTGGGTCTGCTATTTAGGAAGGGACCTTGAATTGTATGTTGAGGAGGACAAAACAAAGTCTCAAGAAATTACTCCTGCCCCAGAAGATCTCACACCACAGCAAAAATATACATCAATAGCTGTATAGGTAGAAAATGTGTAAGTGACAAATTATAACTGTACGATTAGTGTAAGTTCATATTTTTCTAGTGAATGAATGAAATAGATGATGCGCTGTTGAAGATGTTGGAGATGAATTGAAATTATGAAGACCTCAACTTTGTTCATAGTTAATTTAACAAATGCCAAATATTTCAAGAGTAATAATTTACTGTACATTCTGATTTTTATCAAACCATGGTTTTTTCATAGGGCATTCTAGAGTGAACTGTGATCAACAATAGTTTAAGTTCACCAGAATTCCATTCTCTCTTCTGGTTAAGCACTACTCTAGTCGAAATAGTAGCGGATTGTTTATACAAATAATCAAAATAATTTCTAATAATGATATACCATGAAGCACCTAAAGTGTGATATTTAGAAGAAATTACAAAACCGTCCACAACCATCAAGTCTTTGTCGCACTTGTGTATGCTCATATTCAAAACAAGAGACTATATGTACTGAGGTACTGTTTTACTTATTTATGCCATTATGATAACATGTGCACTTGCTGACTGTACTTCTCCACCCTTACACTCTATTTGAGATTGGTACTGTGAGACAAGAAAGACAACCACAAGTGATCTTTTTGTTCTAGGAATTTAGGTACCAGTATTTCTTTAAAATGAGCTCACTGATATTGATCAAGGTATGTCATCTAGTTTGTCAAGTCTTTCTCGGAGTTCAATGGTCTGATGCTTCAATCGGACTTAGAATTGTGATATATAA